GAGGCAAAAGGAACTCCAACCAAGTATTGAGTATTGTACATGCTCATATTTTTCATTTTCATTCTTTTCAGTTGGCCAACATTTCTAAAAATCCCTTTTTTGTATTAGCCTTAAGTAATATTCTAATTTTGTGACACACGGAATTTTAGATTTTTATTTGTTGCCAATTCAAATCATCCAAATTAAATGAAATAAACATTTGAATGCATGAGTCTGAGTGCAATGAATAAATATAATGTACAAGTTACACCTTTTGAATGCAATTACTGAAATAAATCAAGTTTTTCAAAATATTCTAATTTACTGGCTTTTACCTGTATATACACCCTTGTGTGTCTTTTCTTTGTTAGGTCAGTTGTGTTTCTTGCAGCCAGTTAGTTTAGGCACAGTTTGCTTGAGTTAAATTTTCTCTTTTTGATTGGCCTCTTTTATGACTTGAACCCATGTATTTTTTGTAAGCTTCTTTTTTTGGGTTAAAAATAAATAAAAAAACATCTCGGTCCCTCATCAAGGATGCTGATGGCATAACGATTTTATGACCAAACCCCCAGAACATGTCAAAGATTAAAGGTTTATTATTATTTCTGTATTATTATAAAACTCCTGCAATGTTTCTCTCATATTTCTCCCTCCCCATCCCTCTTTCTCTGCTATAGGGGCCTGATTTCTTTAAACTCTAGTGACATCTACTACCTGGAGCCCATTAACCGTGTGAATTCCTCCCACCATTCACTGCTGAGTGCCAAGGAGCTGCCAATTAAAGGTGGAAGTTGTGGCCACGGCCATCCTGCCACCCAACCCCACCTCATCTCAGACATAGTGGCACCGCTTCACTCAAGGGTGAGTCTGCATGACCAAACATCCTCTATTACACACAAATAACCGAAAATTACATATTTATGCTTTAGCTAATACTGATTCAAGCTTATTGTGTGTTAACCTTGGTAAGGATTCGTCCTCTAAAGGCTTATATTCAACAGAGATTTTTTCAATACTTTTGTAATTAGAGGAATAAAATTAAGACTCATTCGCTCCAAGGATCTTCTAATTTCTGTTTAGCAAGACTAAACGCTGCTATAAAAGAGGTTTTATTAGATTTGAAGGTAAGTCATGTAAATAAAACACAACAAAATATTCAATGTTTGAGAGAACGAACAATAGAAAGGACGTCGATTTAATCTCATATTTCCTCATAATTAGAGCTCATTAAACTGTTAGTGGTAATACTTTGATGAATCATTTTTAAAGTTCTTCTAAGTGACTGGTTTTCCTCTTTGAATTAACATTTGTTTTATCTTAAGTTAAACTGTTTATTTTAAAAATAATTCAACATTGCCTTGGGCATTTTTTTCTTATTTACCTCTGAAAATCGGTCATTTAATCGGTTTACTTCCACCATAACGCTGGACAGGGAAAACTAACGATTATTCAGAATCAGATAGCAAAAGGTTCCTTTTTTCCAAAATTCAAGCAGGTGAAACTAAAACTTTTCCACTTGAGGAGTTTTGGACAAACAGGTTGACAGATGAAAGACATTTTTATATTAAATAGAAAATGTTTACATATATTTTTCTCCCAATCTTGGTATAATTCCTGCTCTAAGTGGGTCGCTCCGTCAGCTAAAGGCATATTCTAGAGTCTCTATACTCCAGTTAATGATTAATCGATTACTAAACAATTATTTCAATAATTGATTAATTGCGGTAATGGAATGATAGCCTTAAGCAAAAATATCAAGGTTTATAGTGTTACAGTAGTAGCCATTCAAAATTTCCCCACTTTCCTTCCTTGACTGGNCTTGGTATAATTCCTGCTCTAAGTGGGTCGCTCCGTCAGCTAAAGGCATATTCTAGAGTCTCTATACTCCAGTTAATGATTAATCGATTACTAAACAATTATTTCAATAATTGATTAATTGCGGTAATGGAATGATAGCCTTAAGCAAAAATATCAAGGTTTATAGTGTTACAGTAGTAGCCATTCAAAATTTCCCCACTTTCCTTCCTTGACTGGCCCTTGGCTGGCCCTTGGCTTGTCCTTGGCTGGTCCTTGGCTGGCCCTAGGCTGGTCCTTGGCTGGTCCTTGGCTGGTCCTTGGCTGGTCCTTGGCTGGTCCTTGGCTGGCCCTAGGCTGGACCTTGGCTGGTCCTTGGCTGGTCCTTGGTTGGCCCTAGGCTCATCCTTGACTGGCCCTTGGCTGGTCCTAGGCTGGTCCTTGGCTGGACCTTGGCTGGTCCTTGGCCGGTCCTTGGCTGGTCTTTGGCTGCTTCTTGGCTGGCCGTAGGCTGGTCCTTGGCTGGCCCTAGGCTAGTCCTAAGCTGGCCCTTGACTGGTGCTTGGCTGGGGCCTAGGCTGGTCCTTGGCTGGCCCTTGACTAGTCCTAAGCTGGCCCTTGGCTTGTCCTTGGTTGGTCCTTGGCTGGCCCTAGGCTGGCCCTTGGCTGGTCCTTGGTTGGCCCTAGGCTCATCCTTGACTGGCCCTTGGCTGGTCCTTGCCTAGTCCTAGGCTGGCCCTTGGCTGGTCCTTGGCTGGCCCTTGGCTGGTCCTTGGTTGGCCCTAGGCTCATCCTTGACTGGCCCTTGGCTGGTCCTTGGTTGGCCCTAGGCTCATCCTTGGCTGGTCCTTGGCTAGTCCTTGGCTAGTCTTAGGCTGGCCCTTGGTCTTTCTGCCATGATTTGTGGACATTAAGATCTAAAGAGAAGTGCCACCTCCTGGTCAGACCCTGTAATTCAGTGAAAGGGTCGAGTCAGAGTAGAAATATATGCAAGCGAAGGGGATCAGTCCATTGGCTGGAAGTTGGAGGGGATTTTGCTGGGAGTTGGAGGGAAGGTTGATGGCATTTGACTGAGAAAGGCCATTTTGAATCTATCCCTCTGATTCATTCATCTGCGTTCAATGTCATTCTCCACTCACGCCTCAGTAAATGAGTTCACTGAGTTTCTTTGTTGGTTCCTCTCCTTACTGTACGTCTTTATTATTATTATCATTA